GTTGCCGGCTGCCAAGCCTGTTTGCCATTTAATATGATAATTTATGCACGAAATAAATTCCCTTATTTTAAGGTATAACAAGCACGGCAGAGGCAGACGAAGGCTGTGAAGATTGTGCAGGCATTCGCAATTGCTAACATACGCACACACAAACACACACAGACACAGGCTCTCAATGCATATGTAGAAGCACATGTGTGTCTGCCATCATACATATTCATGTGGAGTATGTTGCATAAATTCCAACGCTTCTCTACACGGCCTTCCCGCTCGTTGACATGCCTCTGCCGCACAGCGTCCATCATATTTGCCACATTGAAGCTTGCTTACCGTCGCACTTGACTGCTCACTTGCGCTCAGCCATTTACTGTTTGCTGATTCGACTGTTCGATTGCGCGCTCGCTCACTCGCTTATTCGGTTGTGTGGTTTCTTAGCTAACGTCAACCGACACAGCTTTGGTGGAACGTTGACGATACGGCAGTGAATGCCACTTTGGCTGAGGCTGCGTCTGCGATCGCTTGCGATGCTTATACATTGTACACTTTAAATAAGCCACCGTATTGCCACTTATTCGACATTCTTCACACATTCTCCACAATCGCCCATATGAATACGGCTAAGTCTGTTAGGGTGGAGACGAGCAAGCACTAGAATGATTATTTTTGCGGCAAATGCGAGTAGAAAAACTGAAAATGTTTTCTTATACTTAAGTTTTCTATATAACAGGACAGGAGAGAATAAATTGAGTTGCTAAAAAAAATCTACTTTCAAAAATTATGTTTTCAGACAAAAGTGATTTTCTTTTTATTTACAAACCAAGTCGAGTTTTATAATGAAAAATGAATATAATGAAAAACTAAATGAAGAAAAATTTATTTACTTTTCACATCGAAAAATGCTTTTACTTGCATTAAGTATTTTATTTATTTACAAATAACCACTCTAATAAATGAAAAGTAAAATAAAAATCTTCTTCTGTATATATTTTTAGTTATATAAATGACGCTTTATAACCGCTGTAGAGATGCTCGACCGTGGGCGTCCTCCAATTTGTGGTTATGCGTCTTGATTTTTTTCCAACAAATGGCAGGACTTGCAATCTACATTAAGCCGCCGCTAATGGTTTTTACGGAAGCCTTAATTCATTTTAGCAATACACTCCCAGGGGTTGACATTCCCCTCCGAGGGGCGACCGCAATTAGAAGGCTTAACTTAATTTTCTATTTGAATTAATCTTCTGTGACTTTTGGATGACTCGGCTACCGCGGCTGTTTCTGCTCTGCATAATTTGAATAAAAATAAAAATTTTTTATAGAGTTATTTTTTTTTTGTTATTTAAAAACTGTTATTTAAAAACTTGAAAAATACAATTTCAATTGAAAAATCATTTTTTTTTTGTTTACCTAAAATCGGCACACCTTAATATTCAAGTAGATTTATGAAAACCACACACAAGAATTTTAAATTAATCCAGCATTTTTTTTATTTGTAAATATTTTTTTTTGTGGTTTCCAAAATTACGCACATCTACATTTCCATATGCAAATAACGCAGCTGTATGTGGAGTTGTAACACCAACATTTTCTGTTTCCTACGCGGTTAACAGGCACTTAGTCGAGTGGCACATATTTTCGGGCGCGCACACGCATACACACATATACGTTTTATATCTTTTAAAATTAAAATTGATGAACTATATTGTATTTTAAATAAAAAATGCCACTTACGGGTGCTATAAACCACATATGTCGCTTTATTGCGCACATTGTTTGCAAATATTTGGTGTTGCTGTTGTTGAATTTCAATTATTTTTAAATACTTTTTACTATAAGTTATTTGATGCTACATACTTTGGTGCGCGTTGCCTTATGGAGATATATTTTAAGGACACCTCCAATATTTATGAATTTTAAATAAAGTAAAGTACTTTTAGCTTCAGTGGGGCTTCTCTGGAGTTTATTCTCCAGAAAAAATATGTATAAAAAACTCGGATACTGTTCAAACGAATATTTTCAGACTGTGCGCATTAAAACCGAAAATAAAATAAATTTTTATGTTTTTTAATAAAAATAATTCGTTTATTTTATATGAATACTTAAGCATTATTGGCATGAAAACCCGTTTCTAAAAACTGTCACAATATTCATCACCTCAGTTAGTTTTCTGCGCATAAAACGCTCGCGGGTCACATCTGTGGATGTCTAGAAATCGAATGTCAAATTTTTAAAGCTTATACGAGTAAGAGCTTCATCTCTCACAAAGATTTATTTTGAATAAGAATCTTACAGTCTTAATTTGTTAAAAAAAACTAATTCGATAAGACTTCGTAGAAATATACGAGTATATTTCAAAGACAAAATTATGTGTATGCCACATCTGGTGGCCGCGATAGGCGAGAGGCTAGCATCACGTACAGCTGCTCAGCAGGTCAGCGTTCGAGTTCAAAATTTACAGAAAATTTGTTTAAATGCAAGATTGAGCAAATTTTTTTAATATCGCTGCAGCCTCAGCAAATGTGCATATTCAGTAGGTCTGAAAACAACCTTATATTCTTCTTATTTTGCACACCAAAGACCTGACTGATCTATTTGAAAAATTTGAATTTATAGTTCGATTTAGCCTCTTTGCTTAATTCAGCCTTTTGCTTAGTTTAGCAGGAAAACTACTTTTAATTGCAGGAATAGTGCTTAGGATCGATCTCTTCGAAAAAATCGTTTCTATGGCTTGGATTAATACATAAAAAACTTTCAGAAGTCGAACAAGGGTCACCGAGCAGATATTTGAATAGCTTGGTCTATACCATAACCCAACCGATAGATTCGTAGATCCGTTGCCTAGCATTTACGTACGTTAAAACCGAATGAATTATGCAAAATAGATACTCGTATATTGTATCCAAGTGAGAGACAAAATTACTCTCAGCTTGAGATAAGTGGTTAATTTCTAGTGCTCATGCGATCTCGCTCAATGAGTAGCCCTTATGTTGAAAACAATTTAATAGTTTTTCTTGAATTGATAACGGCTGCACCGAAATAAAATTCAACTTCTTTGAAAGAATATCGGGGACTGATTCATGCGAGGGAATCTTAGTTACGATTCGATTCACTTGAAATTTAATTTGTTGGTAGGTTATCGTTTACATTAACATGTAGAAACTGGTTCTTAATAAAAGTTTACGTAAGAGTCCCCCCGATAATATTTTTCCGGAAATTTACCCTGCTCTTATTTAGTTAAAAAAACATTAGATCTGGTCTAAAAAAAACCATCATTTAAAAAAAAATTGATGACTTTAACTTTTACTCTTCGTATCCAGCTTAATTCAAATGGTTCCACACGCTTTTTGTGCAATCTCTACCCCTTGGGCAATCGAAACAGGGCTTGCATGGCGGTCGGACTCAACAATGCTTTTTACGTTTTATTGAAATTTTCAATAATTGGCTTTCAAAATTACCGGAATGAAACCAAAATTGTGCATAATTGATTGTAACTGCATCAAAACCATAAATGCTGTTCTCATTTTCAGTCGCCTGGCTTGCGTTTTCACGTTTGTCGAAGAAAAATTGTATAAAAAGGCGTATTTTCTCTTTGCTTGAGTCCATCTTTGTTCGGACGCTCAAACCAAACTGTTTCAACCAATCGCAAAACCACTAGAGAAGTTCATCTTTCTAGCGCCATCTAGCGGAACCATACCGGACGTATACAACACTAGATACAGATTAATAACGCCATCTAGTGGAAAAATAATGGATTTCTTTTTACTATACCAATATTTTTTGTGCTGCGATTCATTTGATATTCGGTGGCTTTTTGCTCAGATTAACAGGCCACTACAGTTTTTGCGAAGTGGACCACGGGCTGACCTATTTAGAAAAACACTACTTATGGTTAGGACTAAATATACATACATATATATGGTTCGTTTTAGTTAACATTTCGGATTTAACGCCTAAATTTAATTACTTTATTTCCTGGAAATAGACCAGAGCCCTGGAAATAAATTCAGGTTGCTCGAAACATCAATAAGACTTTATTTTGCAGAAAGGTATCAACGACTGATTGTCAGAATTAGTATGAGTTATATAAAAGCATAGATTGTGTGTAGGTATCGTCGCTTATCAACTTGAGTGTGAATAAGCATAGATTAGAGTAGGGCGTTTGGCTTACTTCGAGGCAATTTATATTGACATTTTCCTGAAAGACTTTGACCGCAAGAGTTCTGCTTCACTCATCACGGGCCAAACATAATCAAGAACAATATGTTACAGCAAACGACTTGCAGTCTAATAAAATAACGTAATTAAAGAAAAAATCCAAGCCTCCAAAGGTGAAGACATCTTCATTCTTCAAATCTCTATCATTGCATCCAGGGATTATCAATGTCAATTCAAGTGAGTTATGAGAATTATGTGGTATACATTTTGATAAGGTTTGATTTGCATATGGATAATTGTATGTTGCATATCCTAGGGTTGACATAACAGATAACATTTTAAAACTTTAAACGCGCTTTTCTCAAAACGGCGCTTTCTATCTCAGCAAACTCAAGCTCAACTCAACTGTTGGGTGCTAAATTTTTATACATCCTTCATAGATATATTCTTCAGGTGCTTAACGAATAAACAATATTTAGAAATTTTATTACTATTTTTTTTTTTATATTTCAAAAATTAAATTTTCTTACCTTCGTTTTCTAATATCAAGGCGCATTTTTTGGCAAAATTTTCGGTGCAAAGCAAGAGCTTATATGTTTGATACGCTTTTTAAATTGCCATGATTTCTAATTAATAAATAAAATTTTTTTCTGTTGAAAATTCATAACAGTACGTATTATTTGAGCCTCACAACTTCGCATGACCACTCAAAATTTTTTGGTCTATTAACCTATTAATGGTTCAATAATAATTAAAAAGTTTAAAATTAATTAAAATTAAATTAATCTCATTAAAAAAACATCTATTAAGAGCTTTTAACTTTACTTTTATTCTTTTTTCCATTTCAGGATTGAAGTTGATCCAGAAATTACTAAGCCACTGAACTTGGCTAACTCAGCTGTTTTGCGCGCCGTTGAAGAAGAAGAGCAGATGAAGTGCGGTAAGTGAATATTTTTTTTAGATACAAACGCTAAAGCCCATTCGTTTCCCCATAAACACCAAATGTTTTCGTATTCCACAAAAACTCAGTGTACAATTTTATATTTTTACAAATGTCTCTGTTATATGTTGAATATATTCGCGTGTATCTCCCTCTCTCTCAACCTAAAAAGAACACGACAAGTTTATATTATATTTTGTTTGAGAAGTTTTGAGTTGAGAAGAAGACTGAGATAAAAGTAAAAAAATTAAAATTAAAACTTTTTAAACAAAATTTGAAAACCCATGAAATATAAAGATCTCCGAAAATGTTTTTTGCGTGTGTGAAAATGAAAAAAATTACATCAGATAATAGCAATTGGAAAGCCCGTGTATAAAATATTCTCCTAAAGCAATATTTTCATGTCACAAAATTTTTCTAAACTATAGAAAAGTGAAATAATAAAAATTAGAAATAATAATTATCATTTTTACTGAAAACCCCAAAAAATAATACGTTATATATATAACTTTTAAAAGCATAAAACTGAAAGGGTCGCCTCAATGTACATGAGAAAATTAAAACATTAGCAACAATTAGAAAAATAAATGAATAAGTAAAATAATTGGTAAAAAATAATACGCCACGAGACGAAAAAGTGTTTGCTAATTGTGTTTTCTTTTCTCACTTTGGGGTCATTGTTCATCTTAGCTTATTTCGCGTACAGCACTGCGTATACGTAATTTATTTATTTTCATATGTTAAATTAAGTAAGGCTGCGAAAGGTAGCAATTTATTAAAAATAATTTAAATAATTATCATAAATGAAAAGTAAATATTCTCATATAAAAGGTGCACAGTTTTAAGTAAAAAGTTTAAAACTGTAAAAAAAGTCAAAAAAATTCTTAACTTCGGATGCATAGATAATTTACACTCAATACCAAACTGAAAGTGTAAAAGTTATTTCAAAGGAAAACTTTGCCTACCAAACAATGCAAATGGCCAACCAAATAACGTGCAAATAGGCGATTGTGAGCAACCTTAGCGTAACAATGCGCGACTCATACAGCTGTATGCAAACTCAGAGTTGCTGAGCTGCCGTAAACGAACACAACAACAGCAACTACACCAATGCGCATATGTGCACAACTGATGTTTAACAAACGCAAAACAAAGAAAAAAACATAAAAACCCATTAAAGTAGTAGTTTTGGTGTTGCCGCAGTGTTTCATGCACTTTTAAGGCGCATGGGCTCATATGGCCGGAGCCCGTAGAAAAACCTAAATCACTTTAGCAGCAGCACCAACTGGTTGGCGTCCAATCAACTAGTTCTACTGGCTGACTAACTAAGTAACTTGGCCATTTTGCAGACGAGTTGATCATACGCCAAACGCACTCTCTTAACACCACTGAGCATGGCCGGACTTGGCCTGGCTTGGGTATAGGCGAACTTGTGCGAACTTTAAAGTTACTAATTGTTAAACTCGCACGTTTATCACAGCCAAATGCGCATATGCAGCACGCAATATGCAACATGCAACATGCAACATGCAACACAACAACGCACTTACACACGCACGCGCATATTGGTCTTTGATGTAATAGATGCAGTTAATCGCTTAAAAAAATGGCTACAGCAACTTTTGAACGAGTAGTAGCGGAAGACAACTAACTGTTTATATGCGGCAAACAGCCATATGCATACTTATTCATGTAACTCTACGCACATAAATACACCCCTTTATTCATACGCTCACACACTTGCCAAACTTGCTCAACTAAGCCAACCAAACTTGGGCAGTGAACAGTCAAAGTTTTGCACTGAATGTAAAAAGTTTCCGAAAACTAACGGTTTACTTGCCGTTGTAGAGAAAAACTAATGTTACAATTTACTGGCAAGTTGCTGAAAGGGAAAGAGCAAGCGAGAGCGAGAGGGAGAAAGAGGGAGAAAAAAAAAGAGTTCAACGTGTTGTTGGTAGTTTGCAGAAGCCCAGCAGAGGTTAGTTGTAAATAACTCAACTAAACTCGACTTAACTGCAGCTGAAGTATATATTGCATTCAGACAACTCACAATGCATCTTGCCTACTCACTTGTCAGTTTTTGCCATGTTAATGGCTTATTATCATTGTTTTGGCCAAAAATAAATAGCAACAGATGAAGCGCAGACGAGTTTACATTTTGTGAGAGCCCTTGCTGGTAATTTAGTGCAACACACACTCAGTTAAATAAAGTTATTCCTTACGCTCAATTGGAAGGCCATTAAACTCAACTTTTTTACGAATAAAGTGTAAGTGTAATTGATATGAAGCCATCAAAATCGGGCCCAAATAAGCTCTTTCGCAATAGATCTAATCCACAGCGACACCTAAAGTATCTATTGTATAGCAGAAGTGTTATTGCACCAGTAGTATCTGTATTTCACTGAAAATGGCTTAAAACTATAGGTTTTCTGAAAAACGCAGAATCAGCGCCAATTGGCGGTATTTTCGAGTTCTAAAACGATTTTTTGAGGGCCAGAGGAACTACTTTTGTAAAAATTCAGCTCCTATTAAGTGTGTAAATCTGGTCAAAAAATCACAATTAACGCGTAATTTTATACTAAAATAAATTTCATTTAATACTAAATTAAATTTTTGAGATTTCTCTGTTTCCTTGAGTAATTTTCAATAGAAAATTTGAAGCCTAAAATCAAAAATAATAATCAATTAAAGAACATTCGGTTATTAATTTTCTGCTTAGTTCTCTGTTTTTATTTAACTAAGTTTTCGGTTTTGTTCTGTTAAAATATATGAGAAAAATTTAATTGAAAGCATTTCAGAATTTAAGAATTAATTACCACTAAATACTCTATGGTTATTCTAGCTTCGCTCCTCATTCATGTTTTAATACTTTTTTATTTATTTTTAATTATTAAAAATTGTCTTTTATTGATATAATATTTACTTGTCTTTCATCATTTTAAATTTGTATTTAATTTTATTAATTTATTTCATCCTTACTTCCAAACAAATACGAATTTAATGAATATTTTCAATAAAGCATTTTTACAATGTACCCAAACTAATGGTTTTTCATAAAAACACATTGATTTGCACGCAAAACTCTATTGGCAACGTGACAGAGTGCCTTTTCAGTACAACCCAGCAGGGAAAAATACTACTTGTTAACTAGAATTCAAATGGTTTATCTTTTTGCACCAATTAGTTCATCTGCCCACTGCTTTTTCTAACATGGCGATGTCCTACTACCTGTCAATTGTCAAACTATACACCAGGTTTACACTAGTTAAATACTAGTTCATTTAAGCAAGTTCAGTTTCCACTTCACCAAAAATAAAATAAAAATAAGAAGGAAAGGCTGTCTTCATAACCAAATCAAATATATGGTATTTCTTAAGAATAAATATTATTTTTTTACATCTGAAATATGGCGTGAGAGTGCCTTACGATGAAGTTTTCCAATTTTGATGATATCCACTAATAATTATTATTTGTATGTTCGTGTGTAGAAAATCAAATTTCACGCTTTTAAAAACTCTTTAACGGCGTTCGATTTCGATGCTTTTCGGCAACAATATGTAATCCATCAGGACGAACTTTAACAGGTCATTACATAGATTGAAACACAGTTGTGGCGCATTAGCTATAACAACAACATATGGTGGCGAAAATAAAATGTAATAACATCTCTTACTGGTGAATACAAATAATCAACTGATATGATTTCAGCTTCTAAAAACTAATATTTAACTAGAAATTTCACATACTAACCTACCTTCTCCCTCTGCAGGGAAGTAATCACACATACACACACATAAATATTTGTGTATAAAAATATTAATATTTAATAAATTATTAATTTTCCATTTTGGTGAGCAACAGGCTAATATATTATAATTCACAAATGCATATGTAGACATATATATGTGTGTATGTGTGTGTGTGTGTGTTTTTGAGTAAACATTATGAATAAACCGTAAAGTATATTAACTGTATACGCATAAGTGTAAGCCTGTTGTAAGCTTACAACATAATAAATACTGTAATGTGTGTAAGCTCTACTGAATTTGTAATTTATGCAAATGAAATGATGATTTTAAGCCAAACAACAGCAACAACAACACATACATAGCTATTTACTAAATATACACAACTACAACAAACACTACTAATTTACACACATACAAACAAATATGATTGTCATAGCAACAGATCATTGCAAATATACATACATATAAATACTTATATAACATACACACTCACAAATACATATATTTGCTTATTAAACATAACGATTTTCATATATTTATATACATACACATGTACATATGTATGAAGATATGTTTTCGTACTCAATCTATTGTTTCTACATATACTCGTATATACAATATTTAGGCATGTATGTGTATGTATATACAATTTGTCATTTGGCACGTGCCTTTGTGACAAAATTTATTATTTGCCAAATTACTTTATAATAAGGCGCCAAGGCACAACAAACAAGTCTATATTAAAAACAACAACAATAACGACAAATATTAGTGAGTAGTAGTAAGTACTTCGTACTGTAAACATCGAGTGTTATTCAATGCCGAGACACGTCATACAACATTTCTGCTGTGATTATTATTATTTGCACAAACTTGTTGTCAGTGAAATGTATGTGTGTGTCTGTGTGTGTCTTGCCACTCATATATATACATTCAATATATACTCGGCACTATGTCACTGTTGTACACGGCGTATGAGTAATTTGCATTTTGTATGCCAAAATGAGAATAATAACTTACATACATATCCACACGCACACCAACAAACAATGGGAAAATTTCGCGGAAAATAATGTATAAGGTCTCAATTATAAAAAAATTATACTCTTTAACAAAAAAATTAAATGAAATGAAATATGGTTAAACATAAAAACCTCAAATAAATTCAACAAAGTTTAAAAAACCATAGAAACATAGGAAACACTTATTATATACACATAAAATTTAATAAAAAAAAACTAGAAAAATCAC